TCATCAGTTGTTCCTAAATGCAAAGCCAGGGGTATGATTTATTTATTTAAAACATGTATATAGGTGCCTATTGTATAACACAGAAACTAAAATAAGAGCATAAAAACTAAGCGTGCTAAGAAACTTTAAAAACAACAAAAACCTTGTACAAGCCATATAGTCTCTTATCCCAGTGCCAAGCCTTCAAAGCTTTATGGGTAGGTAAAAGGGTAGAGAGGCCTGTTTGAGGTCCAGGGGTCAGCCAGAGTGCTCCATAGGGTAGGGGCTGCCACTGAAAAGGCATTTTTCCTACTCATCCATTCCTAGGGATGAGCCGTGCAGGTTACCTTGAGATGAACTGTGTTAAAATTATGTAAAGAAAATATGAAAATTTGCTTTGGCAAATTCTTGTAGATGATGCCATAAATCAAGGGTCTTCAAACTTGGCAAGTTTAAGACTTATTTCAACTCCCAGAATTCGTGAGCTAACATGACTGGAGGAGAAATTCTTCTTATCCAGCAATGAGTACTTTTGCAGCAGAACTGGTTAATTCCAAAAGGCTAACCAAACATTTCAGTCTTAAGCTTCTAAACAAAATTATCAGTTTGCTGTTTAAGACACCTTTTCTGATTAATTTTGACAGTGGAACAGGCCACTGCTGCACTAATTAAGCATCTGGGATTATCAACTGAAAATTAATCTTCAGGCTCATATTCTGCAAGTCTGGCCTCCAGAGACACTCTAAATAAATAAATAAATAACATCAGGGTTAAGTATTCCTTGCCTTCTGACAGTGCTAACATTGTATGAATACTAACCAATTAAAATAGCCCATTTCCCTGGAAATAGTTCCTTTTTAAAGTTCTGCATTCTGGTTCCAAAGCTCCTGCTCCAATACAGTAAGCAATACTCTTAAATGTTATTAGAATCGAATCGAACAGAATAGAATTCAATTCTTTATTGGCCAAGGATTGGACACATAAGGAATTTGTCTTCGGTGCATAAGCTCTCCATGTACATACAAGCAATAAGTGCTAAATCATGACCATAGTCATCATAAATACATTCATCATGAATCATAAGATACAACACTAAATGTGATTTCAGATTATTTTGCATTCTTAATGTTCTGTAAAGGTAGCCAAATGATGGCTGAATTTGTACCAATCAATGCACCAGAACATAAATTAGCCAACTATATTTGTGTGGTGTGAATTCATAGTGCGGCTAACCCTTGGGTCAGTAAGCCGACTGAAACCATAAAATGGATTTTGAGTAACCAATTTTTAATCAAAAGTACTTGTGTCAAATAAACACAGCCTAAGGTTTTTTCACCCGCAAATAATTCTCTCAAGGGTTTCAATTCCGCGTAAGAGATAATAAACATGATTAGGGTTGCAACTCTATTCAGAAAACAGTGATGGTGTATGCAGACAGATCTCACCTATATCCAGTACTCTGGAACAGTCAAGGGCTATTTGGGGGCGTTTATGGATAAATCTGAATTGTCTATGTGGTTGAAGATGGCTCTGAACATGGTTGCATGCAGTTACTTTTAATTGTGTTGCTATACAGCCTCACCCCATTTTTGGCGCACCTCCAATCCTCACTAACATTTGCTAAAACCCTTTAGGTTGCCGTCCTACTTACCCAAGAAAGTCTTAATTCCCGTTAATGCATTTCTGAGCATGTGTCACACAGCAGGCTCTACCGGGCCAAGCTTTCAGAGAGCCGGCACACAATTAAACTCGTGTTCGTCTATGTATTATTAATACTTTTCAAGACGGGAGAAAATCGTCAGGATGCAGCCCTGGGCCTCCCCCTTCCCCCTCTTCAGCGTTTGTTGACAGCGACCGCTTCCTGCGAGTCTGCAGCGTGCTTGGCCAGATGTTCCTCGCTTTTTTTTTCTCCTCTTTTTCTTTTTCCTTTTCTTTTAAAGGCTTATTATACCCACTCTGACAGCTCGCGCCCGAGCCTTTTTCTTCCAGAACACAAAGTCTCACCGGGATCGCTTAAACTTTTTTTTTTTTTTTTTGTTTTTCCCCCCCCCCCCCCCCGCCCCAATCGAACTTGTCCGAAAAGGCTCGGCGTATTCATATCCTGTGGCCCAACCTAAGCTGAATACCCAGTGCCCATAATGTCGTGTGTCTAAGGGTGTGAAAGCTGCTGAAAAGCAAAAGAACTTCTATTCTAGTAGCGCTGCTGCTGCTGCTGCTGCTGCGCGGTTGGTTATTGTCCGCCGAAGTTTAGACAAGATCACCCCGGCAGCAGAGGCAAGCCGTGGCCACAAAGCCCGCTGTCAACAAAGCGCCGCGCCGTGGGTTGGAGCATAATTGATTCCTCCCTCTCTTTCTCCGGCTCTTACAGCATCTCCCTCCGCCAGGCCCCAGCTTTGTCCGGCGGCTCTGCTGTCCCGCTCTCCTCTCTTCCCTCCCTCCACACACACGCAACACACACACGCCGCCGCCACAACCTAAGCGCCTGAGGGATGGAAAGATCCAGCCCCGAGCCCCGCGATCAGCCTCGTGCAATCGCCCAGCTGCCCAATCGATCGCTCCTTCCCCACCCCCATGCTCGCCACCCCGGGAGGGTAAGGAAGGGAAGAAGACGACAAAGTCGAGAAGGGAGAATGCATGATTTTAAAAATCATAAATACAAATAAATATATATATATATATATATATATTTTCTCTAAAGCAAAAAGGAAAAAAAAAAGTTTGGTAGTTTGCTCAATTGCGGGATTCCTCCGATGATATATGCCTAAAAGTGGACTTCCCTGCTGCATCACAGAATAAGGAATCACTGATCAGGATTTTTAAAAAGAGAGACTTTTTCCATTGCTTTTTTTTTTTTATCCCCCCCTTCCCAGTCCCAGAATTTCCGGGAACAAAGAAGGGGAAATGCGGGGGGGGGGGGGGGGGGGGGGGGGGGAAGGGGGAGGTTTCGGGGTTTGGCTGCTCGGGTCTGCCTGTAAGGCAAAGCTTTCCAGTGTTATTGATCTTTGCACATTTCACCCCGCGGTCGCTGTAGCCAGTCGAGGGTTCCTGCCTTTGTGGAAACTCCGCGGATCCCCTTGTCAGAACTCCTCTGGGAAAAAAACAAACAAACAAACCTTCGCTCCCCTAGCAACTTCCCACCAACAAATTCACAAGTATATTAGCTTAGAAAGGACCAGATTCCCGGATGCAGAGAAAACACGTGCGTCCCTCCTTCATACAAATGTTAACCTCTTCCTTTAAGGAGGGATGTATATCCACACGTGACGAAGTGGAGGGTGACTCGCGAAACTAGCACAACGCCACCCGGAGCCTTCAGTCTTTTCTAGGGCGAAGAAAAAAATGCTCCGTAAATAAGCTTTTGGTTATCCATTTACAATTCCGATTAGATTACTCTTTAACAGGTGAACCAGGAAAGAAGAATTCGTCTTCGGACCCTGGCAGCCTTTCTTCTTTACTCCAAGCTCGAGGTTGGGCGGGAGGTGGCGGTGGGTGGGAAGGACCACCGCTTTGGGGTACTTTTGAACCAAACCTCGGGAGTTTTTCAAATTCTCGTGTATTTCTCATAAATCGAAGGCGGCGGCAGCACCACCTTTACATAACCAGCGTGGGTAATAAATCTCCACCACGCCTCCCCTCAGGAAGAGTGATGATGATGAAACATCCGCTCTTACAGGTATCCCGACAAATACCGCCGGGATGACTAAAAGGGCACTAATTATGGGAGAGCACTGGATTCACGTCAGGACAGGTGAGGCCGAAAGGTGCGCCTTTAGCGGCCGTTGGCCGAGTTACAGCGCTGGAAACGATCCCGCGTCCGGCCCGCGTCCAGTAAACAGCCTCCTCCCCCCCCCCCTCCCCCCCCCCCAAGAGCGTTAAGAAGTAAGGAAAGAATCGGCGCGGCGCTAAGCTTTGGGAATACAGTGTATTTATTTGTCCCAGGCTGGCGATGAAATAGACCAAGCCGGCCAACGCCGCTTTTGCTTCGTGTTAGGTTAGGGACGCAGACGACGAGTCGGCCACTGTCTCTCGGCACTGTTGTTGTGCCTGTTCCGCGGAGGCTCGCCTTTTACCCTCCCCCTTTCCCGCTTCTCTGGATTGGGCTCCTAGGGAGCTTTAAAGACCAAGCGGGCTTGTGCTCTTCCCCCGCCTGGTGTAATTTATGCTGCGCTTCTCAGGCCGATTGCGTAGCTCAGCCGGAGGCAGCGGTGAGGCTGGGAGAAAGGAAGCAGCAGCCCGCGTAGTTGTGTGTGTGTGTTTTAATTTCGAGGCTGTCAAGAGGAAGCTGGAGCAGCAGATAGAGAGAGAGAGAGAGAGAGAGAGAGAAGGAAAAAGTTGTATCGCTCGGGAGAAGCCGGGGCCAGAATCCGCGCTTGACTCCCCACCCCACCCCCCAGCCCTGCCGTGCAAAAAGGGGGGGACGGCGGCGGTTCTCACACACGCGCACAGAGGGATACACGCTTACCCGCACAAAGACCGACTCGGATGTTATTACTGGAGACCGGGCGCACGCTACGCGCGCCTCTAACCTAGACGCCTCTTCGTCCCTTACTTTGCTCTGGGGGTCTGAATCTGAATCGGAGAGTGGCTTTTTCAGCGGCGCTTTGGGGCGGAGAAGGGGGCCGTTCAGACATTCCCTGCGTGGATGCCCTTCGCTTTTCCCTCTCCCCCCCTCCTTAACACGGCGTGCTGCTGCTGCTGCTCCGGCAGGGAGGCGGTGCGCGAGCAGCTGCTGCGTTTCCTGAGTAAGACCGCCTTTTGTTTTTGCTATTGCACCGAATTAAGCCTTCCCGCCCCCGCCCCGTTACCCCCGCCCGCGGACCAGGCAGGAAGGGGCAAACCGGGGGCAACTGCCCGTGCGGGTAAGCGGTCATCGCCTCCTTTCCACCCTTCCTTTCACCCACCCCCGGTGTACTTTGCTCGGCGGCGGCGGCTGCTGCTGCTCCTCCTCCTCCTCCTCTTAAGGAAGTTTCCTCCCCTCTCTTCTTCTACCACCCGCGCCGCACTTCCCCTATTTCGCAGGCTGCCCGCCCCAACTCCTCGGGGAGGAAGGGCTGTTACCATCACCCCCTTATCTCGAGCGGGGCTGGGCTGGGCGCAGACCACCTTCCGGCCCCTCAGCGAGGCCGAATGCCGGTGGCCGCCAATTCGCCACCCCGCACGGTGCAGCAGCCCGACTCCCGCCCCTTCTCTGCCACCGCCCGCCTCCGGGACCGGGACCCCGCCAAGCCCCACCACCACCCAGGGGCCGTCGGCGCCGACGAGCGCCAGGAGCCCCAGCGTCACGGCCAGGCCGGCGGGGAAGCGGCGGGGCGGACGGGCGGTAGTGGTGGCGGCAGAGCGGCGGCTCCTTCCGGCGCCCCTTCGCCAGCCTCTTTGCTCGCCTTCTTGCCGCCCTCGCCGCCGCTACGTCCCGCTGGGGGCCCTTCGTCGCCGCCGGAGCCCCCCCGGACTCGCTCCCGTTCTCGCTCCGGTTTCTTCAGCCTCCTCGCCATGAACGGCGGCACCACCGCTACAGCCGCCACCGCCGCCACCGCCGCGCACTTCCAGCCGCCGCTTCCTGCCCCACCGCATCTCCATGGGCCGAGCCTGCCCGAGTTAGGCGCCCGCAGCCAAGGCAGGGGCAGCCCCGCTGGACACGGGCACCCTCGAGCCCCTCCGGGTGCCCGGGCGCCCGCACCAGGTAATGGGGCCCTGGCGGGAAGGGGTGGGGGGTGGGGGGGGAAGGCAACGGGAGCAGGCAGCTGGGCGGGCTGCGAGCTGGGGAGTTGTCTGGGCTTTGGGCGGCGGAGGGCACCGCGCGAACGAGCAAGGTCTTGGGAAGTCGCAATTGAAGGGGGAGCCGCCGCCGCCGCGCGAGGAGAGAACGAGCGAGCGGTGGCCGAGCCGGGCTGCTCCAGGCTGGCTTTGCGGGAATGGGAGGTGACAGGATGTCCGTGAAGTGACTAATAAAAAAGCGTTGAGGTGAATTATAAATGGGTGCAAAAAAGGGGGGGGGGAATAGACAGAAAAATGGGGCGGGGGCTGAGGAAAATTTGGGAAGGTCTTGGCAGCTTTCCGATTAATCGTGTTTACTTGGAAGTGAAGTCCCACTGAGTTCAATGGGACGTAACTTCCTACTGAGGCGTGTTTAGGCTTTTCGCTTATTATTGGTTTTCTCTCTCTCTCTCTCTCTCTCGCTCCCCTTAACGCGTGCTTAGAATTGCATGGCTGGGTTCGTGTTGCTATCCTGACGAATCCCGAGATCGCCGAAACACCCTCCAGTTCTTTTTCCTTTTCCATGTCTACACGTTAATGATCAGAAGTCGGACCTTCGCCTTAGCGAAGCGTCGTGTAATAATGATTGTAATCGGAGACTGGGGTGGAGTGGAGGGGGTAAGGAAAGGTTAGGGAAGGTGGATAAATGAGGCACAAGGGGAAGAGGCTGCTTAGTTTAAGGCTTGGGAGGAAGGGATGGTGAAAAGAAATTCAGTTTCCCAGTAGTGCTTTGCTCTTTGTGGGTTCAGGGTTTGTTTATAAGCAATATCTGGCTACACTTATTTTCCCCACCTTTTGGTAGAAGGACAGAGAGCTAGTTAATACTTTGGACTTTCTTTTTAGTACTTTGCTTCTGTCATACTGTGCTTTAGCAATAGCAGTTGTAATATGGCATGTGCTCTTCGGCGGCTGGTTAGGTTAGTTTTGATTTTTTAGTATTGGATGTGCGTGCTGTTAAGTCTGGATGGACAATTAAGATAGTTTTGTCTCCTAGAATTGAAGTTGGGAGGTTTCAAACATAGGATGAAATGTCTATTAGCGGTGGATATGTGAGTGAAAAAAGAGGGTCCATACTTTGGATTTGGAGGAAAATAGCAAGCGGCCTGACAGGATATAATAGAGTTAACATGGTAAAGTTTGACTGGATTGCAGCTAATACGTTTTTCAATATGTAGAAATAGCATGATCAGGATCAAAGTTGCATTGAATCAAAGTGCAAAATGTGAGAGTAGTTTATTCAACTATATTTGTATAGTACTTTTATTTGAAATGCCTGTAAAAAACAACAACAGTGGAGTCTCCTGGGTTATAGGTGTAGTCCAATAACTAAATTGCTGTCATACAAGCAGTATGTACTCAAAGCTAATTTTTTTTGTTTTAAGTCAGTGTGTGAATTTTTCTCCTGCTATAAGAAGAAAAATGTATAGTTGTGACAAATCTTCTTTTCTTTTTTGTGCTTTTCCGGTAAATCTTTTTTCTCAAAATACAATTTTATCCATATAGAATAGAATAGAATAGAATAGAATTCTTTATTGGCCAAGTGTGATTGGACACACAAGGAATTTGTCTTGGTGCATATGTTCTCAGTGTATATAAAAGAAGAGATACATTTGTCAAGAATCAGAAGGTACAACACTTAATAATAGTAATAGGGTACAATAAGCAATCAAATCATACTAGGAAATAGTCAATAAAAAAATAAAATAAAAAAATAAAAATTTCAGCAACATTATGAACTCAAGTACAGTATGCTTAGGATTAGAGCATGTTACCATTTTATTCCTCCAAACCAATAGTTTGTTTATATTGGTTGCATTTTTAATTTATTTATTACATTTGTATGACCTCCCCCCATCACCTATATGGTGACACTGGGCAGCTATATGAACATTTTTTATATGAATTTTGTAGACTTGGGGATTTTTAAGCAGTCATAGGGCTTTGTGAATAATAATACAGCAATGTAACATTTGTGGAATGTCCATGACTGATAAAGCTTTAAGGTAACAATACAGTTTTGTTCAATTAAAAATTGCTTTGAATAAATTAAAAATGCCCCAGCTGTAATTCTTCCCGGAAGACACACCCTCTGCCCTGCAAGATCTTACTCCTAGTTCCAGATGTATGTGGGCTGGTTGTGGTTACTCAAATGCAAGGGAAATACACATTGCAGGTTATGAAACGAAACCTATTTCTTACATGACCCTTTTTAAAGTCAGCTTTCCTTTGCCTTAATTGAATACTAAAGTAGAATTCGTATAGGTTCATATTTTGTTGTCTAAAGCATTTGGGTATAAAGAAAACTTTTTTCTGAGTTAACTAAAAAATAAAAATGCCAGCACATTTCTCTATTTTGGAAGAAAATCACACAATTAGATATCACTTGTTTTAAAAATGTGACTTCCAAGGAATGTCAGTCTTTCTTAAATGCAGCAACCTGTGAACAAATTTTACAGTCATTTGGATAGAATAAAAAGCAAGTTAAATGAACTTCTCTGGAATCTTATGAATTTAGCACACATCACCAGAATAGATTTGTTCCACGAACAGAACATAGCACATGTGGATTACATCTGTTGTTCCTTTAATGGAGCAAGCAAACAATATATTTTTTTTAATTCTGGCAATGAGTTTTACATAGCCAAATACTGCCTCTTTTCCAGAAATAATCTACTTAATGTTATAAGATGTTATAAGAGAATCTTTGGGGAAGTGAGTACCAAAAAACTTTAAAGAGAATCTTATGGATGTTGTCACTGAATGGCTATCCTGATGCTCTTACCTGTTCACAAGCTACTGCCAAACTGGTACAGATACATTTATGTATTTGTTTATATCTCAGTTTATTATTTTTACAAGGGAGTAAATGTATCTAATATTCCTTCAATTCTCCTCACAATAACAACCCCATGAGGTGGGTTGGCCTGAGAAAGAATGACTGGCGTAAGATCACCCAGCTGACTTTCATGCCTAAGGCAGGACTAGTAGTCAGTTTCCCGCTTTCTAGCCTGGTGCCTTAACCACTAGACCAGGGGTCCCCAACTTCCTGTCCGTGGACCAGCACTGGGCCTCAGCATGTCCGCAACTGGACTGCACAAACAAGTGAAGCCCCATCTGCAGGATGCAAAACCACATCCATTCCAGTCCACGGAAAAACCTCTCTCCACAGAACCAGTGCCTGGTGTCCAAAAAGTTGGGGGCCATTGCACTAGACCAACCTGGTTCTCTTCCTCTTTCCCCTCCGTAGGCTCGCTCAGTATGTACATTTATAAACAAAGCAATCCACTATTTTTTAAAGAATACTTGTTCAGTACTTTTAGAACCCAGAGTCCTTTTTGACTTTAAAAAGTGTTGCTTTAACTTTGCAGTGTGCCAACAATACTTCCTGTTGGGTTTTTTTTTAAAGTCAGGTGAAACAGGAAGCCTGACAGGTGTTGAGGAAAGTACCTGCAGGTACAATGGAGTCTGTGCATATTTCAGTGGTCTACATGCTTGCTTTACTGTATTTACAGTAAAAATGGAACTATTTGTGCTTAGTTTTTAATTAAGTGAAATACCAAGATTTGTACACTTCTTACAGTTAAGATTCTGCAGTCCACATTTTTCTAGATAGTTCAAAACGTTCTCTTTTATCTCTAGTTAAAAAAATCTTTAAATAAAATAATCTGGCACAAATTAGCAATAACAATTTGGAATGTGTGTAACGCATGTAGTTTGAATGTAGTTTCTAAGTTACATTTAGGTGTACTGTAGTTATTGGAATAATAAAGTACATAGATAGGCCTGACTAAAAAGAAAGGGGCTCATTTGTTTGTTTTGATATTGGATTTTATTAGTTTCTATTATCATTTATTATTTTATGATGTTGAATTTCAGACTTGAATGCAGACATGCGTAATACTGAGTATGACCAGTAAATATCACTAAAATAGATGGTTTTACTTCCAATTAAGGTTTTACTTCCAATGGTTTTACTTCCAATTATACTTCCACCATAGTTGGAATAGGGCTATGAATCTCTGTGACAAGTACTATGACTACATTTTTTTAACCTCAGAAATAAATATACCTTCAGTTAAGAAGTTCAGGGAAAGATTACTTGTGGATTGTTTGTGCCTGTATCTTGTTTGCATTTTTAAAATTATTTTTTCTATTGACACCGTTGTTTCACTAGGAAAGTTACTTAACTGGAAGACCACACAGTTTGACTGCCCTTTCTGTATTATTGATACAACCTCCCATTTCCTCCCTGGCATACATAGAAGTCTGCGGAGAGAGGAGTGAAGATTAGAAAACTTCGTGTTTCATCCTGGACTTTGGAGGATTTGAAAGGTTAGAGTGTCTGCAGTTGCTGGATGTATTGACAAAACTAGGAGAAACTTAAGTTTGCCAGCCATGTCCAACACAGACTACTATTCTCAGATATTTCTATCCTGCACCAAAATCATGAGGGTTTTGGTATTTGTCATAATTGTATAAAATAAAGTGTTTGTGTTGCAACTTTTTCATGCAGTTGGAATTCCCCCTTCTATTCAACTATCAACAGATTGACATTTTACTAAACTATTTTTGTTCTGGAGGACAGACATTTGAACTTTTTCTCCAGATGTTTTACTCACACTGTTTTACGCAATCCAAAAAACGAAGTTGTGAGCTGGTGCTGGTCACATCTAATCTGTATAGCCATTGTAAGTGAGGAATGCAAGCCAGATTAAACAAATCTATGCCAAAAAAGAGGGGAAAATGTAGTCTAGGGGTATGATTTGAAAAATGATCTTTAACAAACTTTTCAATTATCAGTCAGATACTTCAAAACTGAAGTTTTGGGATATCTGAGCAACAAAAATAAACCTTGTGCTGCCTTAAATTGTTAAGGCGGTTATTTTTCATGGACTGAAGTTCAACTATTGCATTCCTTGAAAAACA